TTTAAAAAAAAAACAAACAAAAAGCTGGCCACCTGTGCATGACGAAGTCGGACACGGGAACCAGCTTCATCAACCAAGTCAATTGCCTTGTCAGGCAAAAATCGGTCACTATAAAAAAGAAGAAACAGAAGTAGTGTTCAGATAAGAAGTGAATGGCCGCTTACAGAAGATCCTACTGATTTACGAGCTTATTTGATGGAAACATAAACAGAGTATTAAACTAGCAAAAATTTAAGCATCGAATTCATGAAAGCTAGAGTTGTTTGACAAATTAGTCAGTTGCAGACATAAACAAAATATACCTCGAGCCGTGAAATTTGTCGTACAATCAATCTTTTTAAACATATAAACCAATGCACCACACAGTTTGAGCCGAGTAGAATACAAAATCTATCCTACGACAAATATTAGTGATTCATTTAAGGTGTACCTGATGTATTGATGAGACAAATGAGCTGCAGCATCTAAAGATTCATCAGTGTAGCGAAGCTTGTGGTGTATTTCATAGCGTTCCCTAAGACCTCTAAGAATCTGAATGGTTTCGTCTACCGAGGGTTCAGGGACCTTCACAGGTTGGAATCTTCTTTCTAGAGCAGGATCCTTCTCGATGTGCTTTCGGTATTCATCAAGTGTGGTGGCCCCAATACACTAACAAAAGCATCATTGGTTATAAAAATGATGGTAAATTAGGCAAAAATATAGCAAGACTGAATATAAGCACACCCAACAACTGAGAGGGCACGAGAGTTTTATCCCAATACTTTCAATATTTAATAATTAACCAAGCATAGATGAATATTATGAATAGAATGACAAAATCTCCAGAAATTTTGTACCCAAGTTTAAACAAACCAACCATATAACGAGGGCTGCATTTGTTCAATCTGAATTGTGCAGCTAATCTGCCATCAATCCTTGCTGATGCCAAATTAGAGAACTTAACGCATTTATCAAGTGTTTTATCTCACCTGTAGCTCACCCCTAGCTAAGGCAGGCTTCAAGATGTTAGCAGCATCAATTGCACCTTCAGCAGCTCCTGCTCCAATCAATGTGTGCACCTCATCAATGAATAGGATTATTTCATCACTTTGCTTAATCTCCTCCATTAACTTCTTCAATCTTTCCTCAAATTCACCTCGGTACTTAGTACCGGCAACAAGGAGACCCATATCCAGGGTTATAACCTGAAAAATAACCATGCCAGAGTAACGTAATCAATATTCAACCACAATACAACACTGCACAACATCTAAACTGTGCCGACCAATTTTAGATCACTTCTCCTGGTGTCACCATAATGAATTAAGAAGATTAGAACTACAGAATTCCAGTTCATGACATAAATCTGGTAACAGCTTGCAGCTTTTATTCTATTAAGGTATTTAACAGTAACCTTTTTCCCCTCAATAGTTTCTGGAACATCTCCATTGGCTATTCTTTGAGCAAGGCCCTCCGCAATAGCGGTTTTACCAACACCAGGTTCTCCAATCAGGCAAGGATTATTTTTTGTGCGACGTCCTAAGATTTGAGTTACACGCTCAATTTGCTCCTGTCTTCCAACAACAGGGTCTAGTTTTCCCTGAAAGAGACAAATTAAACCAGTATCTGTTATTCCACCTCACTACACAGAAATCCGATCTCAGAAATAAGGATTTCCTTGAAATTATACCTCCTCAGCTAGCTTGGTCAAATTGGTTCCATACTCCTCAAGAGTGGGCATTTTGTTGCCCGAGGTTCCACCTCCAACACCAGCACCAACAGCCTCTGCACTCTCACCGACCATTCTAATAACCTATTTTTCCATTAAATGAGTTAAAAACACTTATTTCACAGAATAATTGCCTAAAAATTATACATTATACAAAGTAGAGGTCCTTTACTTGCCTGAGTTCGTATATTACTAGGATCAGCACCTAAATTCTCAAGGACACGAGCTGCCACACCTTCACCCTCACGAAGCAATCCTAGCAGCAAGTGCTCCGATCCAATGTAATTGTGACCTTAAAGAACATTAAAGAAAGAGATATTAAGAAAAGTCATCTCTAATCAAACCAAACATACTTAAAATAATGGCTGTGAGACACCATTTTCATAAACAAAATTTAAAGCTTTAATCAATTGATGTTTTAGAACGTTCAATCATATTGTTTCCAGCATGCAGATTGGAACAGAAAACAAAACTACCTAAATACTGATCAAGAACCTAGTGAACA